CCCTTGCCAGCCGGGGAGTAGGGAGCACCAGCTGGTGCCCTCCCGAGAAGCACCAGTAGCCCTTCTGGTTTTGCCTGTGCTTCTGGGGTCAGAAATCAGCCACTGGTGCCCCCCAAGAGTCAGGAGGCACCAGTCACCCATCACATACCTTTGTCTACTCCAACACACCGGAGATCCAGCACGTCAGAGCAGACTCAATTCATGGAGTCTGCGGAGCATGCAAACTGATATGCCCAGTGCTGCATTGCATGCATTTGTCTAAACAGCGAAATGTGCATCAGCGTGCAGAAAATGGTGGCAGTGCACTTTTGAACTAAAACAGCTGTGTTTTAGTTCAAAAGTGCGCCACTGCCATTTTCTCATCGCTGATGCACATTTTGCTGTTTATACAAATGTATGCACTGCAGCACTGGGCATTTTTAAAAGTGCCTGGTGGCACGTGCATGTGTACAAATACCCTCTGTCTCTGTTACAGGTTTAAACCAGTTTCTGATCACTTATACTGGTTTATGTGTAATGTTTGCCCCTAGCCCTCGTGTCTAAGCAGAAGTGGCCTATTTCAGCACTGTTCAACTGGCACCCCATGGGCTGCATGCAGCCAGCAAGGGGTTCAGTTGCAGCCCATCCTCAACCCCTGCTTCTAGGCTCCTGGTCCAGCCACTGCTCCCTCTCTCCATGCCCAAAATTTCAGTTGCAACAGCAACCAGAGTCTCCAGGCTCCTCTCCCCCTCTTCTGGCTTTCACTGCCTGCACCTGCCCCAGGAAGGAAGGAAGCCAATATGTTTGTAGTGGGGCAAACATAGTGGTTGCATGGCTGGGTGAGCCTGAGGCTGTGTGGGCAATAAGCGCAGCAGTGATGGGGAAAGGCCTGTGCAGGTACATGGTGCAACAATGGGGCAGGGGACATGGGTGTGCAGTGCAGTGGTGGGGGAAGGCATGGGTACATGGTGCAGCAGTGAAGAGGGAGAGGGCTCCTTACAGATGCACAGTTGGTTGGAAGGGGAGCCATGGGTGCATGGTGCAGCAGTGGGGTCGGGAACATCCTTATGGCTTGTGACCAGAGGATCTGTAGCTCACTTTGGAGTGGCCTGCATGCGTGAAACTCCTGCTGATGTGGCCCATGATGTATTCAGCTCTTGACCACCTAGAAGTTGGGCAGCTCAGTTTTATTTGATTTTCACACAGAAGGAAAGCTGAAAAGAAGGCGGAGCCAGTGCAAGTAGAAAGTGAGCACAAAGGGAAACAAATTAAATTTAAAGGACTAACATGGTACTCACTTTTCAGGACATTGGCATATAAGTTCTGTAACAATACCAACTAATGTCCACCAATATCTCTGTCCAATGGTTTGCTCTGGAGCTACATGATCCTTGAAAGCCTTAATACATTCCATGCATAAACTGCATATAGGGATTTTTCTTCTCTTAGGCACAAAGCATAAAGATATCGGGGGCTTGGAGGGGGACATTTAATAAAATATATCCTGTGCATGTCTAGAACAGATTAGTGACTTGGGATAGGAGGCATAACTGTGTTAAAAAATTCAACACATATGCGGAGGCAGGTTGGGAGAAGGAGGAGACCTAAATAGAAACAAATACTGATTTTTATAGCCCTTTCTTAACAGAATAGTGACAAACCATGGCAACTTTAATCTCCACATTGCATTAGAATTAATAAAGGTGTAAAAATAGCGATGTACTAACTAAGCCAACCTTTACATAGTCAGAAGATTTTTCATTACGCTGCACACCTCCCCCATGTCAAATGAATGCTAAGCTCAGCTGAATTGGGGGCTACAGATCACTTTCCAGATGCATAAACGTATCCCCATTCATGAATAGCATAGGGCATCAGAGACAATCTAGTTCAGCTCACTGGAATGTCCATTCAAGATGCCAGCACTGAATCTAGGCAAGTTTAGGAAGTCCGACTGCATCACAAACCTGCACTGCCTCCTTCCTGTCTGCTCTCTATCCAACTATGTAAGTAAAAGGGAGATATGAAAAATACCTTTTGTGATTCTGGTGACATAGAAAATATGCTGTGTTTTTATATAATATAAAATTAAGAATATTTTGCAAATTTGTAATGCCTTCCATGCAAGCATTTCAAATTATTTTACAATTATGCTTTATAGCATCATTACAGCCATATTACACCCAAGGAAACTGAGGCACTGCCAGGTTAAGTTACTTGCCAAGGCCACGTAACAACCCAGCTGGAATCAGATTGCACCATGTCTACTCCTGTGCTTTATACGCTAAGCCATAATTCCAAGTCAAAATCCACTAGCAAGTCAGTTGAAGCTGACTTTACCTATCAGAAACATTAAACCCAACTTTTATGGAACCAGAAATGTAATTTAGTAAGTGTAGTCAAACTAAGGAATACTCCTAATTCACTCCAATACATTTTATGGTATTTTAGTTATTATGAAAAAAATCGTTCTGACAGAAGAAAGAACAAGAGACTTGTCTCTGTAATCACACACAGAGAATAAAGTGGGAAAGTACAGTATCCGAGAAATGTCCTAATAATGCTCACGCTCCTGGGATGTTACTGATGTTCACATGGCAACAACCTTTGTGTTCACTGGCTATACACCATTGCACCCCTTTCTTCAGTCATGATGGGCTCCCAAAATACAAAGAATGTCTCTGAGCCTACGAGCAGCGCCCTGAAATCTGATAGCAGATCAGGGTCTCTAACTTTCTGATCTCTCAGACAGTAAGAGAGACAGCGAGGACCATTATTGAGGTGCTGGAAGGCTGGAGCTAATAAATTTGCAGAATGCTCCTGCTGGCTAATCCTCAAGTGCAGAAGCATCAGGTGAGACTCCCCACACTAACACACACAGATGGAGCACGATTTCACAGAACAAAATGTCATAGAGAAAATGAAAACACATGACAGAATTCACTACAGGGTGGCAACTAAACTAACCAAATAAGAAATTATCACCACTGGGCTTGTTGGTCCTGATCCTCTTTTGTTAAGAGATATACAGAAAGGTTAATCAAACTATTTAAATCATGAGCTCTTGACTCCTTTTCTGCAAATGAACAGAAGAAATGTCAGCTAAGACTTTGAAAATGCTCTTTTTGGAGGGAGGAGAAAGGACAACTCACACTGCATTTAAATGAAAAAAAACTTATGAAATGGAGCAGACAAGCTTGTGTCGTGTAAGATTTCCCCCCATGCGTCAAGTTAAATGCATTCTCACTAGGTAGAGATTGTGAAAGAGAGTTGATCTTTAATAAATTCTCATAAACTCAGCAACGCATGAAATGCCTATTGAATTGATTGGAAGGTGGAAAAACGAATAGAAGTAATATGATATAATTTCAGTACCAGCATTAGTGGGTTTTTTGTTTTTAAATCTTCTCTAAAGGCTGGATTCTTGTTGGCATGCAGATTCCTGCAGATATTATAAAGGATCAGGACATATGTTATTTTTTAACACAGCAAAGCCATGCGGAGTTTGCTGGAAAAATGTTTTCAATGGCCTTTAACATTTGTTTTTTTGTTAAAGTTGAGGGGTTTTTTTTGTTGTTTTCATGACTTCACAACTTCTTAACATCATTTCGCAGGGATGAAAATGTATGCCTCATGGGAAGTTTTGGACTACATTGTTGAAGTAGTATCAGAAATCCATTCACTGATTTCTGATCACACGTTGATCACATTTCTAACTACCTACTTCTGTTTCAGTTAGAAAAGACACATTGACCAGCAAAGCACTGCAAACACTTGTGCATGTGCCTCTTTTCCTGAAGTTAAGCACGGGCCTTATGTATTTACAGGACGAGGGCCTATGTTTTCAGTTGTCAAAACTTGATGAATGTAAACTACTCTTTCTCTTAGCTTGTTATATCATGGAAAGGAAGTCATTGTTGTAATAAACACTTATGCTGATCGCAAGTTCTACTTTTGATTAAGTTTGTAGGCAAAGTGAAATCTTACTCCAATACCTCTCTGGACTGGAAACACATCAGGGGTCCCATCTCTTCCCTATCATCTGCTGGCACTACTTTTTTGAAAATGACTGATTTTCAAAGAGGCTATGTCCTAGAGTCTTATTACAACTAAAAGAAGGCTTAAAGAATGGTAGATGAATTTAAAAAAATAATCTCTGTCATAGTCTGCCCAAATGATTTTATCCTTTCACTTTTGGCAAAGAGAATGTCTCAGCTGAAGAAGTAAAACTCCATTTAGTAAATCAGAGATAAATAAGGATAAGTGTTGTGTTTTGTTAAAATTACCTGCAGGCATAATCTTAATTAGGCAATTCACAACTTGTACAACCTCGAGTTAGAACAGTGAAAACAGTTATCTAGCCTCTGAAAATAATCAAAATTAACTACTTTATGGCTCACATTGAAACAAGTCACAAAAATGTAAAAAAGAGGGGGGAAACCTGAATTTCTGACTACAGAGAGGAGTTTTCCATCCACTTGGCATATGATTTGATTAGCGTTATGTACATTAATTTAATATGCCCTAATCCAATAGAAAGAAAAAGAATGAGAAAGTGGGATTGGTTTGTCAAATCATCCAGCGTTTTTCTTAGGTTCTTTCTTGTAATATCAAAATACTGAAAAGTTTGCAAGTTACCATGTCATTTTTATAGAACTTTTCCCCCTTGTATAAACTAAAGACGTAAATGTCCCCTTCAAATGCCACTAGCACAGATCTTGTATATTGTCGCTATTCTAATTTAAAAATATATATATAATTTCTAAAAGAAATTAGATAAGTGTATGCAAGTCTAGGCTGCACATAGAGGGCTATCTTCAGCTGTCAGCTACATGCATGCAGAACCACTGATTTCAGTGGTGGAAAACACATAGACTAAAATTTGGCCCACTGGGTTTTTGTTAACCTTTTTTTTTTAAATTGTATTTCCTAGCAAACATGATTAAGTATATTTAGAGAACAGCTTTGTGATTCTGCACAAATGTTTTCTGAAATGGTCTAAAAGAAGGTCTAAAACTTACCACACAAGTCAGGTCTCTTGATACATCCACTACTTGATGTGCTACTTGCAAGTCCATTAAAGGCTGCTAAGCCATCTGAGCTGTAAGCTCTTAAGACTGATAACATGTTCATCTGCTTCTCCAGGACCTGGGGACCCTGAACTTGTTCGGGTTTCATTACACCTTGTGCGGTTTCATGGGAGGAAAGAAGATTCTGACTGTGCCACTGCTTTTCTGATGTTTGTGGCAACGGTGATATGAGTCCTTGTGTTGATGGTGAGGTGACTGTATTTTGTATATTGTCGCCTCCTTCACTGCATTCTTTATTTAGGGCAGACAGCGGCTTGCTCATAATATCTGGTTCTGTTTCAATGTCCTCATCTTCAATGTTTTCTTCCTTGGAGGATTCCATATCCTCAGATGAAGCTATGTCAGACAGGTCATCAGTAGCACTTTTATTTACAGAGTCAGAGAGCAGCATATTTGAGTCATCTTCAGATTGTGTTTTTACTTCAGGGTCATTACTGGTGCAAGAATTTTGTGCTCCCGTGCCAATAACACCCGGATAAACACCAAATTGCTTGTAGAAGTCTGTTGTAAAATTACAAAAAGGAGACTCCATATGGCTGGGCCAGGAAGCATTCTTTTGTTCTGCCAGCACCTCTTTATTTTGTCCTTGGGTCATTTTCTCAGAAGCAGAGTCCAGCTGGCTGATCAAATTTGAAACTATTGCCTCTTTGCTGGACTGTCCTGAGGAGGGGAGCAAACTGACTTTATTTGCTGAAGCCAAAGCTTCCCGAGATTGATCTTTGCTATTTCCTAAAATATTATCTTTACGTTTAGCTTTGCCTAAGTGATTAGCTTGGAGATGCAGTGCCATTAGTTCCATAGATGAAGTTGTAAAGGAACAAAATAAGCAGCCATGCCAAGCAATATTGTCTTGAACTGTGACAGATGAACCTGGAAGTGAGGTGGCATCTGGTCTCACAGATAAGTCAAGAGGTTCATATTGGGATTTTTCTGCTTTTCGTTGTGAGGACTTGCTATTTATTTTTTCCTCGCTGCTATCTGAGCCCAGAGTTTTTGTGGAAAGTGGATCTGATTGGGACTTATCCTTCATTTCTTTTTCCTTCTTCAAGGAACTCAGGACAAAGCTATCCATGAAAGCTTGCAAAGACCCTTGAAAGTTCACTCCATTTCCAACCATGCTCTGATAAGCTCGGCCGAGTTCAGAAAAGTGTGTTCCTTTGGAGGATATGTCGGAACCCTTCATATTCTCGGAAGACACATCAGAAGACATGCTAGCTGCTTGTCCTTGTTGGTCTCCAGGAGAAAGCATTCCTGATGCCCACTGCTGAGAGACCATGCCACTTCGGAAATCAATGCCAGGAAGCCCTTTGAAGGCTCCTCTCAATATGTCTGGCCTTATAAACACCGATCCTTTACTTGAGGTTTCATCCTTGTGTTCTTGACTTTGAGACCCAGGGAGAGGTCCTGCTCCATTCTGTCGCTCCCGATGGTGTCGTTCCAAGTGGTATTTGAGGGATGCAGACTGGGTGCCGGCATAATCACAATGTGGACACTTGTAAGGTTTCTCACCTAGAAAGTTGTGTAAAAAGACAAATACATATTGTGTTAGCTGTGCTTTGGTCTATGGAGAAAGGAAGGAAAATCAACATTTGTTCTTTAAACATAAAACCCTCAGCTAACAGATAATTTTTAAGAGATGTTTCTTTAATACAAGAATAATTAATCATTTTAAGAATTTTTTTTAATGGGATCCTAGCATGTGGGGCTATTCAGGAATGACATGCTATCTACACACAATTAGCTATCTTTTTCTTAATCTAACATGTAGAAAACTGTTGTAGAATTAAAAGCTATGATTATGAAAATGAAGCATAACAATTTCAACCACAGTAATCATTAAAAATACAAGTTAAAAAAAAGAGAGATGAAGTATGTAACAAATGGATGGTTGCAATATTTTGTGTATACAATTGCTCTAAAATTTGTTTAAATTATACACATGGAAACCATTTTTAAACCTAAAAATTTTATGGCACTGTTACGCAAGACTGAAATGAATGATTTAAGTCTTGCTCTGCAGTAAATCATGGATATAATTAGCAAATGGCATACTGCACAAGTAATTTATCATTATTTGGAGGGCACCATTCCAGAAGGATTCAAAGATCTGCAGACCTACTGCATTGTTTCTAAATAAAGAACTATAAATACAGATTCTATAAAATATTAATATCATTACAGTACATTATGATTGCAGCATGTAAGAACATATAGTTAAGATAAAAAGTAGTCAATAAAATTAAAAAGAAAATGAGTAGTAAAAAGGTACAAAATATATTTAGTTTCTGTATTTGAAATTAGCATTATCTACTGTTTTCTGCAGTGGCTTAAATTTGTACTAATGGCATTTCTAATGTTCTAGTAGTAAAAAGTGTAATTTACCTATAATAAGCACTTTTCTAGAGAATAAGGATCAGCTTAAATAGTGTTTTAAAACATATAAGATGATTTTTATGAATTAAATATATATTTCAACTCAATACTAAACTTTTATTGTTCTTCTCATGATTTAAATGAACTCAAAGATATTACACATATATTAAATATTCACATACAATCATAGATATACATCCAGAAAGAAAATACATCTAAATAAATATAAATTCAAATCTATGCAGAGCACTTGTTAGCAATCAGGGTTTCCTTGTAGAGTTGAGAAAGGAAATACTCACGGAAAGAGACAGGAGTCTGACAGTACTGTAAGCTTCTTTTTAATAGTGCCCTGTCAATTAGCAATTATTTTTATGAGGAACCTCAACAACGAGAAGAAAGTGTTTTTTCTCTTGTGGGTTTTTTCCCCGTCCCTCTAACTGATCTCAAACTGATCTAATAGACAATGCAAACCTTCTGTGAACAGCATTCTGGAAATATGTAATTGTCTTAAACATTATTTCAGAAGAATAAGAATTGTACAATAAAACTAGATAGGTTATCACAGTAGTAAAAAAGTTACCAATTCTTGACTAACTTCAAAATCCATTTCCAGTAAAAACTGAAGGATTTTAATATTTTTGTGGGGTTCAGTGTTAAATAACAGTTTCAAAAATAGCTTCTTGTTTCAAATAACAGTTTCTTATTGATTGTAATAAGCAAAGCAGGATTCAGCTAATGAACATTCAAGATGGCCATATAGCACTACCTGAACCAACCCAAAGATATACTAGTAGGTACAAGGCAGACAAGGTTCCTTGGGTGAATCTGATATCTTTTATTAGACCAACCCAAATAGTTGGAGAATAGTTATTAAGCAAGCTTTTGGGTTCAAAAACCCTTCGTCAGGCTAAGGAAGTTTCAGCAGTTGGTGTGTGCTCTTCCTGGAGGTACAATGCATGAAGAACTCAGCAATGTATGCCAGCCTTCAAAAGTCAGTAAGGTGAAGTTGGCCACATATAATATGGCTTTCCCTCAAAACCAGAGAACATCTATTCTAGTCTATTTTATTATGGTCTATTTAATAGGATAGGAAGTGTTTTAGGGCAAGGAAAGGGGTAATAGACACAATTTGCCTATGTATATGCATCCATAACCTGAAATACAATTGTTGCTCGGTATATTCCCTCGTGCAGATTCTTCTTCTTGGCAGTAAGAATATTCTGTGACAATTCTGCTGCTGGCCAGAATACAAGCTTACATTAATGTTGTTTTTACATCATAAATGGGCTCCAGTTTTTATAATGAGTTCCTGTTCTTCCAGACCTTGCTCCTATGTATTTGGCCCTACATGTTACAACCAATTCATTACAAGGTTTTTAATTCTCTTTGATACAAAAAAGGGATTAAAAACATTGTCCAAGAACTTTATATTAGTTCAATTCTGATGCTGAGAAAATATTTCTAAAAGCCCAGTATGTAAAATGCCTTCACTTTTTAATTCCAACTCCACTTAACTGAAAACTATTCTAGAGCAGCTAGATTTTTACATAAGTGTTAAATCATTGATCATTTCCCTTTATGATTATAACTTTTTTTGGGGTGTATCTAAGCACTGAACGACAAGTGACATCATCACTAGAAATTGTGTTCTGCCACTGCAGATGCTGTGTGAACTGTCGATAACATACTTCTGCAATGATAAGGCAGATTTTTACAATATAGGCTGAGCTAATGATGCTATAAACATACAGGAAGCGCTTCAGGCAACAAGTATATTTAAAAATGGGTGCAAGGGAGTTAAAATATGCTAACTAAAGGAAATACTAATAATACTATGCACTCATAAAGTGCCTTCCATCCGAAGCACTCTGCACTGACAACATACTTTTATTTTTAATTGCTGAGCCCTGAAGATATTCCATTTTCCTTTCAAAGACCCACAGTAGAGTGACCTTCCCTTTGCTGAAGGAGACCTGGACATGAGTCCCCACGAATCCCATCAGCCTATAAGAGGATAGCAACTGAGACAGTTTGATTAAAAGTGCCAATTTCCCCTAGAGTTGAGTCCACTGAAACTAGAATGCTCCCATCTCTTGCGAGGCTGTGAATGAGGATTTAAACTGAGGGCTCAAACTCTGATCTATCATGTTGCAATACACCGAGCCCCCTTTAAATCATAGGACTTGCCAAAAAACTGCGGCAGAGGAAAATATTTGAAAGTTTTTCCCACAATCTAAATATGAAAGTAACTAGCTCATTTAAAAACAGTTCCCTTACAAAAGTAATTGCTGCTATTCCAGAAGCCAGTATACAGAAGTAGTTAGTGTCTGATGAAGTAAGTTGTGGCCTATAAAAGCTTAAGGCTGTAGGCCTCTCTGAACCAGTGAGTTCTGCCTTCTGATAGAAGGTAGAATGAGCAAAGATGAACTAAAGTATCTCCAAAACTGTTAAATTTAGGGATTTGAACAATTTCTAACTTGAATAATTGGTCAGACATATTTACAAGGCATTCCATCTATTCAGACAGACACATAATGTGCCAAGTGTCAGTCCTAGTAGCAGTAGTTATAAACTCCTGGGGGAAAGAAATAGCCCAATTTTTTAATGAGAAACCGGCAAGATCCTTAACATCCCTGTTTCTGTCAGGAACTATAATAATACTAGTAAGCCTAAATAGCATAAACAGGCTAGGACTTATCTTGTTAGAGGTATACTTATTTGTATCTAATACTGTGAAGAAACGTTTCAGAAATCTCATCCTCATGTAATGATTACCCTGATGTTAGTGCCAAGAGCAGCATCTGGGTGAGTCATTTAACACCTAATTTCTGCTTGCATAAATTAAAACTGCCATGTAGAGGTGAGGAAAACACTACTTTTTTCAACAACTTTCCTAAATTTGATATCAAAGGGTCATCCTTTCATAGTTCACAATGGGACTGTCAGAGCTTTATTTCTATTTCCACAAACCTTTCACAACCTAACAGAGAACTGTCCCAGTACCTGGTTATAAAACTATTTCATAAGACAGTAGTTATCTGGATGGCATAATCACTGCTCTCATCTACCTACTAGTCTCAGTTACCAGGCACAAGTCACATCATAAGAATTGCTCTCTGACAGGATACAACAAAACAATTCAAGACTACTGTAAAAACTGAACGATATCCTGGCAGACAAGTAGAATCAGACATACTGCCCAGTGGAAATTGTATACTTATACAGAGCCAGTCTTAAGGAAAATGGCACCCTGGGTGAACTTATATTTGGCGCACTCCCTGCCCACTCCCCTCCCCCCTAGCATTCCTTTATTTTGGGCCAGGGCCTCCCATGGGCAGAGGATGAAAAGCAGCATTTTGGTCCCAGCCTTTGACAGCGCTACAGGGACCTGGCTGGGGTGAGCACTTCCAGGTTTGAGGTTGTTCCCTTTCTCGCCACCAGCCCACTCCAAGTTCCTCTTCAGCTGCAGCTGCAGGTGGGGGTCAGGGATCAGCCAGGGCAGGGCAGGACCAGGTGGCATCCCCCTGACTGTAGCGACCTGGGAGATCACCTACCCCTAAGGCTGGCTCTGTACTTATACATACAATGAACTGCATAAACAACATGGAAGTTTATCTTATTCAGACTACTATCACTCCCACCTATGGTTCTTATATACCACATAATCATACCATGCATAGGAAAAAACTACTGTGAAGCTAAACAAGAACACTGACAGATTAAATATATAGATCTATAGATTTCATGGCCAGAAAACACTATCTCTTCACTCTCCCTTCCAGCCCTAACATCTATGAAATCAATGAAATCTTATTTCTAGTCTGAATTTGTATAGATTCAGCTCCCAATCACTGCATCTCAGTGGGTCTTCTTTCTGTTAAAGAAATGACTACTATGAGAAATCTCTTCCCCTTGTAGGTGCTACAGAATGTAATCATGTCACCTGTTAACCTTTCCTCACACATTTTCAAAGATACATAATGCTTTTTGTAGCTCCTTTCTGCATCCTTTCCATCAAGTCTTGTGTCATTGGCAAATTTTGCCAGCAACAATTTTAGATTTTCTTCTATATGACTGCTCACTTTACAGAAAAACATTGGCCCAGGGACCTCACTGGAAAAGCTCCTACTGCATGA